GCAGCAGATTTTCCCAATGCAATATGTCATTTGATTTCTTGACTGCTGCTTCCATGAGTGTTGATAGTTGATCCAAGAAGAATGAAGTCCTTGACAACTTAAATCTTTTCTCTGTTGATAAGACTGTTGATGCCTAGAATATCGATATTAATGTGTTGTATTTCCTTTTTGATGATTTCCTAGATTCATACTTCTACATTCCAATTTTTCATTATTAATAGATGTTTGCAGCTGTTTTATCTCATTTTGAGTATCTCATTTCCACATCAGCAAATGAAGGTCCTTAAAGTTTTTACTGTATTCATATCATTAAAGTCAACTGTACTTTGAAGAAGCAGCTCTTTCTCAGTTTTGAGTATCTTCCAACTGAAGAGGCTCATCTTATGGCACTGTATCAAACAATGATCCACTGCTATTTATAAGGTTTTCACTGACCAATTATTTTAGAATCATATTGATTGAGAAGTCCTCCCCACTAGTCTGTTCTAGTGTGGAAGCTTCACTAAAACGTGTCCACCATAGACAACATAGCTTTCAGCATCACAGCAACACAAGACACACCACAGTTTCATACAGTGACAGGTCAGAGTGAATGGAGATGCTCAGTATCATCAGTAACAAGCAGACTTTGCAACAGACCCTCAATTGCTCTTATGCAAGTTCAGATTGAGGCTGAAGAAAATAAAAACAAGTTCTTGAGAGCAAAGTACAGCCTTGAATATAACCCACCTGAATTTAGAGACCATCTCAAGAGCAGAGGTGATGCATTAGACATATATTCATGACCAAAGACCAGGAGAGTTGTGGGATGACATACAGGAAAATGGGAAAGATCATTAAAAAGACATGAAAAAAATAAAAGACCAAAGTGGATGTCAGAAGAGTCTCTGAAACTTGCTTTTGAATGTAGAGTAGCTAAAGCATATGGAAGAAGTGAAGTAAAAGAGCTCAACAGAAGATTTCTAAGGATGGCTTGAGAATACGAAGTTAAGTAGTGTAATGAAATGTGCGAAAAGCTGAAGTTAAAAAATGGAAAGAGAGGAACATTCAACATTTCTCAAGCTGAAAGAACTAAAAAAAAAAAAATCTAAAGCTTTGACTTGCAGTATTGAAGGCTTCTATGGGCAAAATGTGGGAAAATGATGAAGCTTTCTGCTTCTGGAAACATTTACAGACTCTGAAACTCTATATCGGGTTGCTATAAGTCAGAACCAACTTGATGGCACTTAACAACAAAGAGGGTATACACATGTTAACTTGGTAAAGGAGAAGGCAATATATAACAAGAGAGAGGTTAACAGGAAAGCTGAAGGTAGCAGAAGAGATGGGGAGGAATGTAAGGGTTAGAAAATGTGAATAGATACTGTTAACTAATGGCACACAGAGGGGATTGCAATCATTGTAATGAAACAAAGTATATGATTTATTGAATGTAAAACCAATGATTTGCTCTGTAAACCTTCACACAATTCACAATTAAAAGTTTAAAAAAATATATCACACACAAGTATAAATGTTCTGAATATAGTTTAAAAACTGGTTGTAGCAGCAAGGAACTGCCAGAAAGTCAAGCTGGATTTCAGAAATGGATGTAAAACAAGGGATATCATTGCTGATATCAAATGGATCTTGGTTGAAAGCGAAGAATAGAATACCAAAAAGATGTTGACCTGTGTTGTATTGTATTAAAGGTATTCAACTGTGTGGATCATAACAAATTATAGATAACAGTGCAAAGAATGAGGATTCCAGAACACTTCATTTTGCTAATGTGTTACCTGTATATAGACCAACAGCCTTTCTAACAGAGCAAGGAGATGCCATATGGCTTAAAATTAGGGTTGTGTACTTTCACCATACTTACATAATCTGTATGCTGTGCAAATAATCCAAGAAGCTGGACTATATGAAGAATGCAAAATCAGGATTGGAGGAAGTTTCATTTACAATTTGCAATATGGAGATGACCCAGGCTTGCTTGATGAAAGTGAAGACCCAGCCTTAGTGATGAAGATCCAAGACTACAGCCTCAGTATGGATTATATCTCAACATTAAAACAAAGCAAAACAAAACAAAACCCTTACAACTGGAACAATAAGCAAAATCTTGATAAATGGAGAAAAGATTGTCATTTGTGAAGGGTTTCATTTTACTTGGATTCACAATTAGTGCCCATGGAAGCAGAAGTCCAAAAATCAAACAACATGTTGCATTGGACAATTCTGCAAAAGAAAGATGTCACTTTGAGGACTAAACTACGCCTGACCCATACCATTGTCTTTACAGTCACCTCATGTGCATATGAAAACTGGACAAAGAATAAGAAAGACTGAAGAAAAACTGATGCAGTTGAATTATGATATTGATGATGAATATTGAATATGCCATGGACAGCCAGAAGCACTAACAA